GTACCCTTTGGTCAAATCAAACTTATTATCACTGGATCGATACCTCTACTGGTAGACGGTAAGTCCCCGATGTACTGTACCCTTTCGGCAAATAAAACTTATTATACCAGATCGATACCTCTACTGGTCGACGGCTAGTTCCCAATGTACTGTACCCTTTCGGCAAATAAAACTTATTATGCCAGATCGATACCTCTACTGGTCGACGGCTAGTTCCAAATGTACTATACCCTTAAGACAAATCAAACTTATTATCATCGGATCGATACCTCTACTGGTAGACGATAAGTCCCCGATGTACTGTACCCTTTCGGCAAATAAAACTTATTATACCAGATCGATACCTCTACTGGTCGACGGCTAGTTCCCAATGTACTATACCCTTAAGACAAATCAAACTTATTATCATCGAATCGATACCTCTACTGTTCGACGGTTATTTCCCGATGTACTGTCCCTTTTAGGTAAATCAAACTTATTTTCACCGGATCGATACCTCTTTTGATCGACGGTTAGTCCCCGATGTACTGTACCCATAAATTTAGGAAAATCAAACTTATTATAACCGGATCGATATCTCTACTTATCGACGGTTAATCCCCGATGTAATCGTCATTGCTTCTGTACTAGAATGAAATACGGTTATTGTGTTAATCTAATTTACAGTGATAAAGCTTATGAAATCATTTGAAATTAAGATAGCTCTGAATTCTTGTCCGCCGTTTTTGCTCTTCATTGATCGTCAGTATATCAGTGACGAGCAAACATTTGTCGTAATGAGCACCTGTTGTAACACATTTGGTATAGTTTAACACTTTACGTATCGACGCACCCGATCCCGCTCATTTTGGAGATCATCTGATTCCCTCAGTTTTTGTTTGTAACCATGAATTGTATCTTTTTAATCGATTTATGAGATTTGAACTTCGGTAACTAATATTGCTTAAATAGATGTTATTAGTGAGTATGACATGTAATATGTGTAACCAATCAATGATAAAATGAATTTGTAAAAAATGTATTAACAAAAATAACGAACTCCAAGGTAAATTCAAAAGGGGGAAGTCCATGAAACTAACGGAACGAATGGAAAACAGCCGTCATATTTCTGAAAAGGTACACGGGCATTTTTCGAAGAAAATAGCTCCCACCATTTTCTACACAAGGAAATGCCTGTACCAAGTCATGAATATGACAGTTGTTTTCCATCCGTTTGAGGTGTCTGAGCTTTTGATTTTGCCATTTAATAAGGGACTTTCCGTTTTGAATTTTCCTTGGATTTCGGTATTTTTGTTATTTTACTTTTTACCATGTAGCATGCTGAAGGTTGTCCGAGTTTCGATATTTTCCGGATAATCAGAGATCGTCCCTTATTTATAGGGGGATCATGTTAATCAATCTTCCATCGAAGCATGGACGACTTAAGATTTCTCGAAAGATCAAATTCCTAAAATGTCAAAAGGGAAGTCCATGAAACTAACGGAACGAATGGAAAACAACTATCATATTTCTGAATAGGTATAGGCATTTTTCGAAGAGAATAGTTTCCACCTTTTTCTACACAAGGAAATGCCTGTACCAAGTCAGGAATATGACAGTTGTTTTCCATTCGTTTCATGTGTTTGAGCTTTTGATTTTGTCATTTGATAAGGGACTTTCCGTTTTGAATTTTCCCTTGAGTTCGGTATTTTTGTTATTTTACTTTTAAAATGCAGTTGTTATGTAAGCTTCCAATTTTTTTTTAACTTTTCATTTATATTTGGCCTATAGCACCACTGAAGAGACGTTAATTCTCGTATCGGCATCTGCTGCATTGAAATTGATACCCACTAATTAATTAGGTTAGTGTACTAAAACCTATAGGTTCCAATTCCTACCAAAGACGATTTTATCTGATGTTATAATGTCCTGTATGGCCATGGCTTTGATACTTTACAAGGCTTTGTTAAATTTGTTCTCAGGCAATCGATATAAGGTTATTTAATACGTCGCAAGTATTGAAATCGATGACGTACTTTTAAATCTTAACAAAACTATCACTGGGACGTTGCTGCTGCTGAAAACCCAGTACCCGAGATCAACATCCATCAACTGGCTGGTGGGTACAATTTAATTGAGTACAAAATAATTATTCCTCTTAATTTAAACGACATTTCAATTGTTGACCTAGCATGTATAGTCATCCCTTCGAAAATTTAACGGATGTCATCCCGAGTCTAATAATAGTCGTAACCACAATCCCATTCTATTTTTCACGATGTGACGTCATCGAATTTGTACTTGCATGCACAACACGACGAGTGCTACATGCAGATCAGGGTCTGCTTACCCTTCCGGAGTACTTGAAATCATCCCGTTTTTGGTGGAAAAGTTTAAAACAACAAAAATACCGAACTCCAAGGAAAATTCAAAACGGAAAGTCCCTTAACAATTGGCAAATTAAAAAAAAACAGACATAATAGGTCAAAAATAGGGTACAACAGTCAACATTGTGTTATAATCTCAATCACTATAAAAACAAACAAATATGTCAACAAAGAGAAACAAAATGGCATATAGACAAAGCACATACGCAACATTGAAACACAAGAATACAAAAAATGACAACAGCACAACAACACAATGGCGGGATGTACAAGTACCGAGCCACGTCTAAAGGATATTACCAAAAATGAGGGAATGGACAGCTTTTGAGGGAGGTGGGAGAAGGGGGGGGGGGGGGGCGGGAGGTGTTAGACAAAAAATAGGTGGAAGAGAAAAAAAGATTCTAAAAGTGGGAGGTGGGAGATAGAGTGCGGGAGGTGGGAGAAGGGTACCCCCTGTCCACCCCTCAAAAATGGACCAAACAGTAAACGTTAATAATTTACAAAGACAAATAAAAGAACACTATAAATAAAGACAACAGTAGTATACCGCTGTTCGAAATTCATAAATCGATTGAGAAAAAAACAAATCCGGGTTACAAACTAAAACTAAGGGAAACACATCAAATGTAAGAGGAGAACTACGACACAACAGAAACACAACATTAAAATGTAACACACACAGAAACGAACTATAATATAACAATAAAATAACAATTTCTTGACTTGGTACAGGACATTTTAAGAAAAAAATGGTGGGTTGAACCTGGTTTTGTGGCTAGCCAAACCTCCAGCTTTTATGGCAATGTTAAATATAACATTAAAATGACAACATTACATGACAGGACTACAATACAAATAAATGGGAGAAAAACATACGAATATTAGCTAACAAAAGGTACCAGGTTTAAAATTTAATACGCAAGACGCGGACGCTCAGATCCAAGAAGTACGAAAGCCAAAACAAGTACAAAGTTGAAGAGCATTGAGGACCAAAAGTTCCAAAAAGTTGTGCCAAATACGGCTAAGGTTATATGTCTGGGATAAGAAAATCCTTAGTATTTAGAATAATTCATGCTTTTGCAAACAGTAAATTTATAAAAATGACTATATAATAGATATACATGATAACACCGAAGTGGTGACTAACTACAGAATAAAAACGGATACATAAAACATCATAAACCAGCACATAAAAATTCACAGCCGAGTTAGCTAAATAGATCAACGCAAAAAAAGTGACGTCACATTTGAATTTCTGAAATTTCCCCAAAATAGGATAGAATTAGGATAGAATTTAAGATTTGGTTTATAATACTCATATAACCTTTATTAATAACAATGAAAATTACAATACTAGTTAATATAAAATGTGGTAATAATTAGATAATTAATAGTATTATCTAGCTATGTCGGTACACGTAATTAAGATGATAAACAACATCAGTACCTAGAATCTATACATCAAGACCATCATGTGAAGCTTATGTTGCTCAGTTTTTAGCTTTCTATGTTGTGTTTTGAAGACTGTTGTTTGTCTTTCCGTCGTGTTGGGTTTTTTTTTGCCACGGCGTTTTCAGTTTATCTTCGACTTATGAGTTTGAATATCTCTTTGGTATCTTCCACCTCTCTTTTAAGATCATTGCGAATAAACTTAACCTTTTACTACCTCAAAGAAAATTACCCCAAACCATTTTTTGGCTTTTCTGATTGACCTCTGCTAGGTTTATGCACAAGTTGGCTCTGCTTTGACTGTGCACTTCAATGTTTGCTTTCTTTTACCTTTGACCTTTGCATGTCGGTTTTATACAAAACAGAGTTCATTTTCGTATCACATTGACATGTTTGCCTCATGAAATGTGTGTTACATTTACCTTTAGACGTAGAAGGTCGATTAATAGAGTTACTAGTAGTCGAACGTTTAAAATTTGAAACTGTTACAGTATCGTTAAAATATTTTTTGGGGTCCTGACAACAAAAATCTACACGACTAAATCCGACAAAGCACACCCGTAATTTCACAAAATCGACAAAAATATACTGTTTGAAGGTATATTTAAAGTAGTGAGCTAAATTTTAAAGAACCCATTGTATGCTACGCATGGGTTGACCTGCACTCTGTACAATTTTCTTCCTTGTCGGTTACAACTGTAAACAAAACTAGGGTAAGCTAATTTATCTGACTGAACTATTCACGCTATTAGACCATTTATAAATGAAAAATGCAAATAACAATACATTGAGAAAAAGTGTGTTGTGTATAGGTCTGTATAATAGTAAAATACTCGATTTTACAATAATTTTGAATTCACATTTCAATTATCAAAATACCCTTAAAATGTATACACCATTTTCAACCATTTGAGTTTCACTAAGCAATAAACTTCCACCCAAACATAACACAACGAAAAAAAAAGGAAATGCAAAAAATGACAAAAAGGTTTGGCCTGATGCATTCACCTTCTAATACTGTTGATATCAAATATAAATTTAAGTGAAATGTTATCTAACATTTTTTAAATTAAAGATAATAAGAATATACATCATTGAAACATATTTTTGATCTATAATTTATAACAAGGCCAGCTTTCATTATATTCCTTTTGTGTACTTTTATAATTTGTTTTCTAATTGTAGGACACCAGGATGTCGACCCCTGTGTTGATGGTAGCAGCCATAGATTTGGGAACAGCGTTTTCAGGATATGCATTTTCAATGAAAGCTGAATTTGAAAATAATCCGTTACACATAAATGCAAACCAAGCCTGGAGGCCTGGAAATTTATCCATAAAATGTCCAACTTGTATTTTGTTTGATGAGAACAAAAAGGTTTTGTCGTTTGGGTATGACGCTGAAGATGACTACATGAACATTTTGTTGGACAAAACACAGAATGAATATTATTTCTTCAAGAATTTTAAAATGAATCTTTATAAGATAGAGGTTAGTGAAATAATAAATTATCCCCTTTCCTAAGGTAAGAATGAACATTTCGAAGGTTTGAAGGGATACACATTCTGAATTATTGATGGTTGTTTTACGCCACCAAAACGCAAATTAAAGTCTATATTTCGTCGAAATTTATTTATATATCATGTCAAAATAAAGAAAGGAATACAATTTGGTTTCAATAGAGTTAATGAAGTCAGATTTCGGCAGAAATGACGCCTTTACACTAAAATCCGTTGGAGGTGTTTACTAAAATATAGTCTTATACATTAGCAGACATCGGGCTTTAAATGATCTTTCAGAAACTGCGAGTACACTAGATCGGTACTGTGTGTCTTTTTGACATTTGTGTTTGGGCTTAGTATCGATCTAGTGAGTAACGCCCTTTGCAAATGTTGATTTACATTTTGTTCTTATGTTGTTCTCAATGTCGAGGTTCCAAGTGGTGAAGTTGAAATCAACCATTCGAATATTTTACGGATACTATCTTAAGTTGGCTGACCGTATGGAATATCTGTTTCACAGATGACGACGGATATGTTCCACACACCTGAGATCACCCCCAGTTTTTGGTGGGGTTCGTGTTGCTTAGTCTTTAGTTTTCTATGTTGTGTCATCTGTACTATTATTTGTCTGTTTGTCTTTTTATTTTTGGCCATGGCATTGTCAGTTTGTTTTCGATCTATGAATTTGACTGTCCCTCTGGTACCTTTCGTCCCTCTATTCCAATTGTGGTAACCACAATCTCGTCTTCTTTTCTTAGAATGAGATCTACCGAATTAACTTATGACCGGGTTTTTACTTACATGAGCAACACGACGGGTGCTGCATGTGGAGCAGCATCTACTTACCCTTTAGGAGCACCTGAGATCACCCCGGTTTAGGCTGGGGTTCGTGTTGCTCAGTCTTTAGTTTTCTGTGTTGTGCTTTTTATACTGTTGTTAGTCTTTTGGTCGTTTCTCGTCTTTTGTTATGGCTTTGTCAGTTTGTTTCGACTTATGAGATTTATAAGGTCCTTTTGGTATCTTTGCCTCTCTTTTGCAATCATCTGAGAAAGTTGCTATGTAGAGAAAAAAAAACCAAAGTTACATGGACTTTTCTCATCAGATTGATGCAGTAACTTTGAAAACAAAATTGATATGCCAACAAATAGTGCTATAGTAAGAGTAAGCTTGTAATGACGTGTTTAAGAAAGAATAAGCTAAAACTTAATTCTATATATTTAACTGTTTAGGTCTTAACAAATGACTCCATGATAGAAGATGTAACAGGGAAACCAATTTTAGCTAAGACAGTCATTATCGGATCGTTAAAGTCATTAAAGGACCATTTAATGAATAATTTGAAAACCAGAGGTCTTCTAGGTACAGCAATTCAGGAAAAGGAAATAAGATGGGTATTTACAATTCCTTCGATATGGACAGAACCGGCAAAGAAGTTTATGCGAACATGTGCAGTGAAGGTATATGAACTACAAAAACATAATTATTGTTTGATGTAATAATAACTGGTTTGCAACATTCTTCTTGTCTGATTAGTAATATCTATTATTTTTACAATATCCTTCATTATAAGGCTCTACTGTATGTTGTAATTACTAAGACGGAATAGCAAATTTTTTTAATATTGAATATGAAAAATTGTCTATTTTTTGCTATTCGATTTAATCTATTGAGTTAATTTGTAACCTAATTATGGTTTTGCTAAAGTAAAATGCATTGCATCAACGTAAAGGAAACTATGGTAGTTTGGTTCTTAAATATTGGTCCTCCAAAAAAGTTTTGTATCTTATACTATTTGTACTTCAAGGCTGGATTAGGACACAATCCCATTATTGCTCTTGAACCAGAAGCCGCCTCCATATTTTGTCAATGTGTCCCATTTTCCTCAACACCATCATCAGATTTAAAATGTATGATAGTGGATATCGGAGGTGAGTACATCCTGTGGTATTTTCATAAAAGTTTTGACAATAATAGTAGAATGGTTATAGATGAACTGACATTTGATCCACCTGTCTTGTAAGGGAGACGATCATGTTGCTGCACAGGAAAAATATTTATACAGTTAAATAAATCTTACGTAAAGTACACACGAGTCAATTCTGACACATTTCGTCGTGTGAATCTTATAATAATGTTTTTTTTCCATTTGGTAGTAGTGGTACACATTTAAATTAAATTTTAAAAGCGCAATATCATAAATATTTGACTGAGTCATAAAAAGTTCTATAGGAATCAAATGTATATACATGAAGAGTAACTCTTTGTTCGATTGTTTTTTTAATGGACAAGCAACTTAGATAAATAAAGCATCCCTTTTCTTGAGATAGGACACTTCTCTACAAACTATAATGTTTTAGAAAATCCCTATATTTCTTTTTGAGATATACCATGATTTGTTTAACTGAATAATATCCCCAATTGGGGACTGCTGGATTAGCTAAGAATTGCTCATAGATTGAGTTCAAAACCATGCACACAATTTCAGCATAGTACTACTAAGATAATTTTTATAACAGTTATTTTACAGCAAAAATACCTGAAAAATAATGGAGATACAACATTAAAAAAATATTTTTCTCTGAACTAACTAGAGGAATTAGCTATTATATTCCAATGGGAATGTGGGGAGAGAACAGTATAGTTCTGACAAAAACTCGTAGAGTATAGAAATCTCGTTTTATAGTTGTATATGGAGATAGACCATTGCACTTAGATATCAAATATATAATGATCTCTATTTTTATCAAAAGTGGACATATAACACTATAAGATTCACACGACGATTTGATTCAAATTTAATTGAGAATGCTACACCAAGGCATATGTTCCGGTGGATGTCGATCTTCTTTGCACGTTAAATAACCCATGGAATAAATCATTTGGGAATGTTTGTGTGGAATTTAAAACTGTCTGTCTCATCTAGAGGTCAACCACATTCTAAATCTTACCAATTGGTATGCTGCAAAATGAGAATAACACTTGATAAATTTCGTGCGTCCGAAAGGCTTCGATGGACTGGGAACTTTGTTCACGTCCCTTATTTTGGAAATGCTTAAAAGTTGACTCTAAACAAACAGCATATTATAGAAGGAAAATACCAATGTTGCTTTTTAATTTATGTAAAATTTAAACTGATGTAAGTGCTTATTAATTTGTTAATGTGAAGTTTGCTTTATACATCTACGGAGATTAGGGAAACGAAAGAGTCATGGGAATCTATATCTCAGCCTGACAATGATAGATGCATTGCAAGACTAAGAAAACTTGAGTTGCTGATGCGTTGATTCATTTAATACATGGAATGAAGCACAAAACAAACAAGAAAATATAGAAATAGCAAATGCACATACCAACATCACAGAACATTAAGTAAAATGATGATATTTTTTTAGTGTCTGTGATTGTTGACTCGAAAAACAATTACCCTGTACTTATTTCACACTCAATGACATTTCTTAAATTTAACTTTTTGAATATTTCTTTAATTTCACTGAATTATGTCGTCAGGTGTTTGTATTTTAAGGTTCTTTAATTATGTCATATAATTTAATTTTGATCAAACAACATATAATTATTGCTGTTCCAATGCAATTGTATCTAACATGAATCCCAAAACACCTCTATTGTATGGATTTTTGCCAGAATGGTTATTTAATAAATGGTAAATTAATTATTTCAGGAGGCACAACAGATATTGTTATTCAAGAGAAACTGAAAAACGGTAAACTGAAAGATTTGTGTAAACCTTGTGGTGATGAGTGTGGCGGTACACATGTTGATAAAGAATTCATGAAGGTCGTATCGCAAATACTAGGGAACGATGTGTTGATTGCATTCAAACGTGACTATCCATTAGACTATTTAGAACTACGGAGAGCTTTAGAACTCCTAAAACAAGCAGATCCAGAGAAAAGAATTCGAATGTCTGTGCCATTGGTGGCGTTCGATAAAATTTGCACTGATCATTATAAAAAGACTTTCGTTGATATTTTAAAACAGTCAAAATGGAAAGACACAGTTACACACATTACGGGGGATAAAGTGCAATTGTCGAAAGAGCTTTTTTTGTCTTTATTTAGTTCAACTACATCCAGAATAGTTAATTTGATGAGAGAGAACTTGAAAAATCCTAAATGTAAGGACCTATCTATGTTATTACTTGTTGGTGGGTTTTCTGAGTCGGTAGTTGTACAAAATACTATAAAGACGGCATTTCCAGACAAAACAGTGATCATTATACCTGACAGCAGTACTGCAGTACTCAGAGGAGCTGTCATGTACGGACACAATCCAAATATAATCGCTTCAAGGATTGTTAAACATTCCTACGGAATTCTAAGCAGACAACGATTTGATCCTTCAAAACATCAGGAGAGCCGTGCTGTAACTGTTGTTGATGTGAAACGTTGTCGAGATACATTTCATAGTTTGATTTCAGCAAACACACCAGTTGTTGTGGGAGAAAAACGTTCACATACATTTCATACGATAGTACCAAACCAAGAAATTGCTACTTTTCGTTTATTTTCCTCTCCACATGAAAATCCTGTGTATATTGATGACAAAGATTGTAGACACTTTGCTGACTTAAAAATAGATATTCAGAGTCCGTCTAAAGACAGAATTGATATTGAAGTTGATTTTCAATTTGGACTTACAGAGCTTGCTGTAACAGCAAAACAAAAAGGAACCGAAAATAAATCAAACATTTCAATAAAATATAAATAAATTTATAAAAGTAACTGTTCTCGTTAGGCATATACACGAACTATATTCATATAAAGCATAAATTGTAATAAAAGATGTAGGTTATACGACATTGGGGCAGCAACCAAATTGGTCAATATCACTTCTGAACCTCAAAGTGAGATACTCAAATATAATATGTAAACAAAAACTCTGAGCATAACCATGTGTGTTCATTTGATAAGCAGAGGACAATAGAATAAAGTTGTCTTTTATCTCGACCAGTTTAAATACAAATGGAACGGTTATCACGGTGTCGAAGTTGTAGTGTTATGCTGCTGTATAGGACGTTGAACACCCCCACCAACGGAACGGTAACATCTGTCTAGTTTCGCAAAATTAAGATTATTGAATTTTTTGTTTAGTTTATTTTTTATTTTGCTACTTCTAACTCGTCTGAATTATGCATTTCAACTCATATGTAAAAAAATGATATAAACATTTTATTTTTTATAACAAATAAAAAGTTCTTGTTGTCATCTGGGCAATAATGTCATGTTGAATGTAGATGCTCACATTTGTGTAAGAATTGTTAGTAAACACTTTACTTAAAAGCATAAGCATAAAAGTTCACAAAATCCATATAATGGTATATAATAATGTATGTGTTATGCTATGACCCATACAGCTTCCTGTTTAAGGCACACAGTTGCTTAATGAGTCCATCGTGAGGTAAGATCCTACGTATTTTGGCTATTTGTATGGAGGCTTCTGTCAATGTCATTCGTCGTTTTGACATTAGATAAGCTATTGCTACTGCAGGAGCTTTTCTGTATCCAGCGTTACAGAACAAAAATGCTTTACCTGCAAGACAAGAAATTGTTAAAAAAATATCTTTTGCATCATACAATTCGCAAAACTCTTTAAGTGGCGAAACATTGCAACATCTCTGACGGGTCAGTAGGTGACCTGTTGCAAGGCAAATGTTTGTCCCTCTTTAACATGCCCTCATGTTCCAGTGGCAGTTTAAATTTGCCGACCTTTATGTCGGCCGATTAACCTTGCAGAACCTACCTATTGCATTTATTGATAAAATTCATTTATGAAAAATGTTGATATTTTTTTCAGAAGCAAACATCGACCAAATCAATTCGGAATATAATACACGGAGTTTTTCTACAATCATTATACGTATCCACTCTCGATAGCAATTTTTTATTTAACTGACTCAATATACAACGGTATAATATCATATTTAAAATGTAATTGTGGTAGAATCTATACGAATGCTATCCTCCTGACTTATTGCATTAATTTTGTTGAAATATCATTGTAAGGGTTTAATGAAACTTGAGCATGATCTTTCTGTGTCATTTTGGGATTTGACATTTGTGTAGTTCGAAATATAAACGAATACACAGATATTTGTGTGAATAACTTATAAAAATGGATCAAGGACTAAAATTGTTGGGTTGCTCAAATGTGAACTACTTCGTAAACAATATTTCTGTTTCATTATTAAGTTTCAAGGATCTGGTTTGAATACTGTAGGAAGAGTTGATTACACAAATTTGGTTCCGTCATTTGTAAATTTCGCTGAAAAATTACTAAGTTCCCAAGTCTGTAATGGGAGTTGATTACTCAAAATAGTTGCCCAATTTTCATCGCCCGCCTGACCAACCACCTGACATCCCCGTACTATAAACAAAAATGTAAATATTTTTGTGTGAAAGATAAAAATCAAAACAATGAAAACGGTGATGGGAAATGAAATTTTGATGTTACCCGACATAAAACCCAATAAACTTATAATGCATTTTTGCGTTTTCACTCGTTTTCCCGTTGGGATATTTCTGATATAGTAAGGCCTACATTGATACGTTTTCTCTTGTCTGGCAAAAACGGAATACGGTTAATTTTAGACCGTAATGAACTTAGTAACATGTTCGGATACATCATCATAAAAAAGTACTTTACGTACCTCCTTTCCTGATAATTCTATCTATTAGGTCTGCTGTTTCCAAAAACAAAGGAATATAATTTCTTGTTGGTTCTGCTTCATCAGATATATCCACGGGGTGATAGTTTATTCCTGAATCTCGGTAGAAATTCGTACTTAAATAATGTACATCAAAACTTATAACATCAGTAATGCCCATGATAATAAGTTCCTTCTTATTTTCTGACTGCATACTAAAAAAACAATTAATCTTATACTCAACAAGGATTTCCTGTCCTTAAGTAAAGTAGGTGTCTGAAAATATTCTGTGAAGTATGTCTGTAGGCATGTTTTTTCTGTTTGATGGACAAATGTCAAATGACACATTTTCCCTTAACGGGGCATTAGCTACGATTTAGACAAACAAATAAAATATTTTGTTTTTGTTTTTTGTTTCCAAAATTTAAAAAAGCAGAACTTTGAAATAATATTTTGCTATAATATTTTGCTATTGGCAATCAGTTTGGTTCAATTCTTCCAAAATAAGCTTAATGTATTATTGACTTGATTTGATCTTTGTTAGGCGTGGCGGTTGCGCATGTGGTCAGCATGTTCAGTGATTGAATCTTTAATAAATTCTCTCAAAGATACAAAGATTTGAACATTGTGTCTTAACATCTTTTGTTAGTTGTTTCTTAAACTTAAAAACTGAAAATGTAAAGCAGAATACCATGAAAAAGTGTTTCAAGTGTTTCAAGTAATTTAATTAGAGTCAAATTAACCTGCCTTTAGGCTAAATATAGTTTTGTCCATAATGTTTGTTGAAAATATTTTTTTATTATTTTAATGCCAGATGTTCTAAATTTCAGTATCATGAAAAATGATGTCGTTGAAGCATTTGGAAGAAACAGCATATTTCGCTAGGCTTCCTATGTCAAAATCAGAACTATATTTTCTGCCACAGTCCCTATAAAAAAATAAAAACCACTCGGTATAGAAGATCGATTTACTTACTCAGTGCCAACAAAAAGGTCAGGATATACCTCTGTACAATGTGTCATTTTGGCTTCCGAATCTCTGTCTTTTAAATGAGATGATACCGACAAAAACAAATCATTGTCATAATCCATGTTTTTCAAGTTAGTTTAACATTAGAATTACAAAATCATGTTTTATACCCCCGTTCGGTTGTCTATGGTAAGAGAGGAGGTTGAATAAACATTATATATAAATAGTTTAGATTTCAATAAGTGTTGTAAACAAAAGCTAAAATTTAATTATGCCTTTAAATTGGAAGTGTACACTCTTGAGAATATTTGTATAACGGACATAAAGGCCGTCAAGGTACACATCTACATCTATTCACTGATCTCTAATTGTTTACTTATATCTACAATTTCATTTCCGTTCTAATTTTCGTAGTTTTCATTTCTTAAAGGGCTGATTGACAAAGTTTAATAGTAAAAAATACATTCAAATCGACCGTGAAGTTTAGTTGTTTTTGTGAATACGATCAGATGTTTTAACTAGTTTCTTCTTAAGGTCACAGACAATGGCCCTTTCAGATTGTTATCGGGCTCAAGTTCTTGGTATTGCGCAGTGAAAAATAACTGAATCATCATCTTATGTCGAATAATCTGGGTTTTTTTCTCCTCTTCAATCTCGGCAGTCGGAAGATTAATCATATTTCATATTTTGCTAACCTATTTTTTTTAAACGGCAAGGTTTGTCTACCTCAAGTCATAGATTGCCTTAATCGTATTTGACACAACTATTTGCGAATTTTCGCTTTATAATACTCTCCAACTTCGTATGTGATTTGTCCTTCCATCTATTTGATTTGGCCTTCCTTCTACATGTATTTGATTTGGCCTTCCATCTACATGTATTCGATTTGGCCTTCCATCTACATGTATTTGATTTGGCCTTCCATCTACATGTATTTGATTTGACCTTCCATCTACATGTATTTGATTTGGCCTTCCTTCTACATCTATTTGATTTGGCCTTCCATCTACATCTATTTGATTTGGCCTTCCATCTACATGTATTTGATTTGGCCTTCCATCTACATCTATTTGATTTGGCCTTCCATCTACATGTATTTGATTTGGCCTTCCATCTACATCTATTTGATTTGGCCTTCCATCTACATGTATTTGATTTGGCCATCCATCTACATCTTTTTGATTTGGCCTTCCTTCTACATGTATTTGATTTGGCCTTCCTTCTACATGTAATTGATTTTGCCTTCCATCTACATGTATTTGATGTGTCCTTCCATCTACATCTATTTGATTTGGCCTTCCATCTACATGTATTTGATTTGGCCTTCCATCTACATGTATTTGATTTGGCCTTCCATCTACATGTATTTGATTTGGCCTTCCATCTACATCTATTTGATTTGTCCTTCCATCTACATGTATTTGATTTGGCCTTCCATCTACATGTATTTGATCCGAGTGCTCCAATATAATTATAGTCGATGAGTTTTTATATTAGTCTTAACCGGTAGGTATAAATACTTCAAAATGAAGTACAAAATGTCAAGATCTGAGTAAATGTCAATATCATTTAACATGATTTATTTAGTCATATGTGATAACGGCTAACATTGCAAAGTAAATAATATTGAATAAAATATGCGTTATATACATATACAGTTACGTGCCGAATTAAAGTTCACGGTACGACTTCTTCATTTGTACTACATGTATTTTAAAACATAATAGTGCATTAATTTTTGGAAAAAATGTCTTTCTGTATCCCTTCTTTATTTTAAGTTAGATTCCCATCAATTTTTCGTCAAAATAGCATATTATGTTACCTGTATATGGGTAAAAGATCGCAATTATTTGCAATGAAATGCAAATTTCCGGAGCAAAAGTTTTCCTATTTAATTAAATGGTCGTTCGATAAATCTAATATTATTGCAAATTTATTTGCTGCAACTCATATAAAGCCCTTTTCTAATGAGAAAGGTAAAAATGCTAAATATACTTACTGGAGGTGTGATGAGATGATTAAAGCTGTAAATTTTCTCCTAGACAACATTTATGTATGTTTCGGCAATAAAGTTTATCGACAGGTTGTAGGTATTCCTACGGGCACCAATTGTTCCCCGTTAATAGCAGCCTTGTTACTGCACTGTTATGAATCAAAGTTTATGACCAAACTCAGTAAAGACATGCCTAATTCCATTTAATTGATAAATTCAACAACACCTACCATTATCTTGATGATATGTTTTCGTTAAATAAACAAGAATTGTCTATATATACTGTCGAAATTTACCCGAAGGAACTTACTTTAAATAAATCAAATATTAACAGCATAACTGTCGTTTCTCTAGATTTAGATATTTCAGTTTTACACGAGAAATTCTACACAAAATTTACGACAATATAGACGATTTTCCTTCCCCTCTTGTTAATTTTCCTTTTTTGGACGGTGATATATGTTCCTTTAGCACCGTCTTACGGTGTTTATATATCCCAACTCGTTCGCTATGCCCGTGTCAGTATGTGACGTTTTGGATTTCGATGAGAGAATCTATGAATTACTGGTAAATTATTACATTTGGGATTTCGTTACCACAAATTACTTAAAATCTTTACTAAATTCTTCAGTCGATACAAAGATTTGGTTTAGAAGTTTAGATGTATCTGTAGAAAACCTTTTTCAAATAGCACATCCTAATTTTTAAGGTGATGTTGTTTACCGACCCCGGAAATCTATATACGATCGGGGTAAACTTATCAATCCTTAAAATAAACTTATTCTAAAAGGTTACCAATTCAACACTGAAATTAGATCTTTGAATATTGTTTTTATTGGTATAAATATTGATTTTGTTATCAGCTTAATTAGTTATCAAAGGTACCAGGATTTTAATTTAATACGCCAGACGCGCGTTTCGTCTACATAAGACTCGTCAGTGACGCTCAGATCAAAATAGTTATAAAGCCAAACAAGTAGAAAGTTGAAGAGCATTGAGGACCCAAAATTCCAAAAGGTTGTGCCAAATACGGCTAAGGTAATCTATTCGTGGGATAAGAAAATCCTTAGTTTTCCGAAAATTTCTAAGTTTTGTAACGGGAAATTTATAAAAATTACCATATAATTGATATTCATGTCAACACCGAAGTGCTGACTACTGGGCTGGTGATACCCTCGGGGACGAAACGTCCACCAGCAGCGGCATCGACCCAGTGGTGTAAATTGTTATCAAAGGTACCAGGATTATAATTTAATACGCCAGACGCGCGTTTCGTCTACATAAGACTCATCAGTGACGCTCAGATCAAAATATTTATAAAGCCAAACAAGTAGAAAGTTGAAGAGCATTGAGGACCCAAAATTCCAAAAGGTTGTGCCAAATACGGCTAAGGTAATCTATTCCTGGGATAAGAAAATCCTAAGTTTTCCGAAAATTCAAAGTTTTGGAACGGGAAATTTATAAAAATTGCCATATAATTGATATTCATGTCAACACCGAAGTGCTAACTACTGAGCTGGTGATACCTTAAACAATACTAAATATAACTGTTTTACACATATGCACATTCACAGCACTACAATCTGTCGATACCTATATTTTGGCATTGCACAAGGTCATGTTTTTCTCTGACTGTTAATGACGTTTTTACACTAAATCAATTGGATGTTGGATGTCTACTGATTGATATTTTAGTATTAGAAACATGATTTTTTATTAGTTGTTATTGGCTTTGAACTAGCTGTCAGTAACTGCGAGTTCTCTTAGATCTGTACTTTGTGTCTTTTTTGTTTTCAAGGATGTATAAATACCCTGCCACATGCAATCTGTGTTTTTGTTAGATGTTTTTATTTCCTGCTTATTATCGATCTGTTGAGTTGATTTGAAATCAACTGGTTTTTATATTATGTTCTTATGTTGTACTGTTATACCACTGTCCCGGGTTAGAGGAGGGTTGGCACCTTCAAACATGTTTAACCCCGCCAAATTCTATATGTGCCTGTCCCAATTCAAGAGACTTTAGTTCAGTTGTTGTCGTTGGTTCATGTCTGTCATATGTGTTTTTCCGTCAATTGCTTTGTTATAAATTATGCCGTTTGTTTTCTCGATTGAATCGTTTCATATTTTTCATTTCAGGGGCTTTCTTGACGACTATACGGTATGGGGTTTTCTCATTGTTGAAGGCCGTACAGTTGCCTATAATTGTTTACATCTACTTCTGATCATTTGAACTTTGGTGGATAGTTGTCTGTTTTCTGCTCTTTGGTCGGGTTGTTGTCTCTTTGACACATTCCCCATTTCCATTCTCAATTTTATCATTGGCAATCATACCACAACTCCTTATTTTTATAAAAGCCGTTTTGGGGGAATTGAAGTTTGCATTGAATCTTTGTTGGAAATTGGTGCTGGATTCCTAAAAATTATCCTCACTGAATGTCAAATTTATCACAACGGTGAATATATGAAGTAAAAATTGCTAGAGACAAAATCTGTTTTTGCATATTCAAATTATGAACCATATAACTGAGTTATCTTGTACTATTCCAGTTTAATTGCTTGTCTCGCTTACAATTCACAAGACAAATTCAAGTTCATATTTTGTGACACATAACAAATATGTAAAAACAATTTGTACTTGTTTCGAGGAAAAGGAGAAAAGCAAAAAAAGAGACTAACATTCAGGTGTTTATGTATGCATGCATGTCGATTTGATGTTGTAAGCCGCTGACAATCAGAAATCTAGACTTTCGACACACCGCTCACATGCTCTTTATTGACAATCTAGTAGTGCAGTAACCAAGTAAGTAAAAGTTATCTTTTTAAGATTTTATTGCTCTTAATAACATGTGAAAGCAAATTATCTGAATTTGAAGTCTTGTATTTTTTCCTTAAATTGATTCTTGTCGTCACAAATTCGTACTACAGTCGGTTATTTAGAAACCCGATTCAGCCGTTAATCCTATGAGCACCCATTGTTTCCCATTTCTAAACTTAAACTAAATAAATTACCCTAGACTTACTTTAAGTATCTGTCTGTGATGACATGAAAGTATAAGAAATCTAAGTGTAAATTTTGACAACGTAGATGATCGGGTACTCAGTTTGTTCTCTCCTTAAATATGAACTTGTCACTGAGTTGTAACTTTCAATTATTGACTAAGAACTTCAGAAACAAATATTT